AGACTACGACCGTCGGGGATCAAACGGCGACTGATTCGAAGGTCGAACAATGGAGAAACGAAGAACCAAAGACAGTGATGAGGAAGAAACACGGACAGGAGAACACAGTCGTATTTTTCCCTCATGTGCCTGTGTTTTTAGTGCCGAGAAGGAACACGGGCTGAGAAACACGACCGTGTTTCTACCCCCTGCTTGGGTATAAGTTTGATTTTGAGGAAGAGCGAGGTTTTGGTTTCCAAACACCCAAGGGACGAACCCTAGAGAGATAGAGCGACTTGGGTACATTCTTAGAGCTATTTTGGAGGATTTCTTCACCATTGGAGCTCAGGAATCAAGCTTAGATGGTGATTGAAGATCTAGATCAGATTTTTGCATTCTCTCTCTTCTCTATGGAGTAACTTCCCTTCACTTAGGTTTTTGAGGAACCCTAGCTCCATGTGTTAGAATATTTCTTGTATGAACATTTGGATGCTATATTGTTTGATTATAATCAATTGAGGCATGATTATTAAGTCAATTGAATCCTGATCAAATTCTCTTGATTTCTGCTTGAACCTTTGATAGATAGAATCTTATTATATTAAGAGAGCTTCCTTGATTGATAGTAGTGAAAATGACCAAAGAAAATTACAACTTTGACCTAATTGAGAAGCTAGGGGGAATCATACATGAGTGAGTTCCCAACCTGTAATTAGATTAACTTCAACTATAGTTCTAGAGTAGTTATAGGTCTTCTATCTTTATTTGGTTTGCTAGATAATGAACTGAAACTGAGTAATAGTAACTCTAGAGACTGTGGATTCGATATTTATTACTTGTGACATTGTTAGGAGTTGGGTTTTAGCGAGTCACATGTACAAGCGCCATACACCATGGATCGGATCGTTGCCCCGAACCCTCGACGGGGGAACCTTGCTCCCCCGAGCTCTCTAATCTGGCACTTCACCTCTAGACCTTGATTTGTTGACCGGGCAGCGAGATCCACAACACTTCTAGTCGACTACAGATAATCCGATTCAAGTCATATCAACAAATTAATAGATCGGATCCATCATAAACTCCATAGTCATCCAAAGGTAGACATGTGATTAGCAAGTTTCTTTCGATTCTTAGAATGCATTAGTTAGCACATATTTGTGGTAAATTTTTTTATTTTGTAGAAAAGGGGACGCTAAAAGGGTTCCCACAAAAGTAATCCCCTACCTGCTACTTAAATAAAAATATCTTGGACGATGCTCACAATGTCATACATGATCCAAAAATTTATACCCAAATCTGAGATATCAAAAGAATGAATTCCTAGGTTAGAAGAGTGTGCCTTGTTGGCTAAGTAATCTGTTTGCTGCTTTGTTGCACTCACAATACGAATTAGAGATCCGAACCTCCCAATTTCTTTTCATGAGCTCCTGGAATCTACGAGTGAGATTGTAATAGAGTTTGCTCTGGTTGTCAAGATAGCAATAGCCGTAGCAGAGTCTAACCTAAGGAGAAGTTTCTTGTGACCTTGGCTCCACGCCATTTGAGATGATAATCATTGATAATTAACAAATTTGTAAGTGATGACAATACTTTTATTTGTTCAAATCTTCAATTAACAAATGTGTAAGTCACAATGAACGATCGTAGGAGTCACGATTAGATACTACTAGATATTTTTATACGAGGAAAAATCGGTCTTGCGATGGTAAATCGCGACCTCCATAGATACCCAACAAATCATGTGAGCATTTAAAACAAGCTTTACAGCCCTGTTAGTGGTTACTGGCACTGCCAAAGATCGAATCAAGAACCTTCTTGGCACAAACCTGCGCCTTTACTATGGTTTAGTGCATTAAACTTAAATTATGAATAAGTGACTTACAACTTCAACAACTCTGGTTATTATAAAAACAACAATTGAAAAAAAGGCTATCGCTAGCTAACTCAAAAGAAGGCCTCAGGCCAAGTGAAAATAAAGTCACGGGAGGAGCCGTCATCTATGGGCTTGAAGAAAAGATAAACGCGGGAACCATCATCATCAACCCCACATTCAGCCAGAGTCAAATCCTCCTCATCATCTGATATACAACGACCATCTCCAAGCAGCAGGATCATGCGATCAAAGGGCAGCTTCTGCTGGGCTGCGATTGCACGTTTGAGATCGACAATTCTGGCATTGCCTTTGTCTTCTACGTTAACATGGAAGAGACTTCCTGTCATTATCTCCACAGCAACCATCATTTAATGTTGGACGAGGTAAAAGGGTTTGGAACTAAAGCAAGCATTTATATATATGTACGTGCAGCTTCATTCCTCTTCTGCTGTGACGCGGAACTCAGACAAGGAAAAATCAGGTCTTTCTTTATTAGTGTTTTATTATTTTTCCTGTTTGTTTTTTCAGCTGGCAGCTTCCATTTACCACTAGGTTTTCTTTCCCTTCTTGGATTTGTTCTTTGCTCGCTTACGAGTTGAAATTATTCATAAATACAGAAGCTTTTGTTGTTCTCTTAGCATTGATCTCACGGGAAAGAGTAAGAGGCGTAGAGATTGGTGATATCTGAAACTGAAATTTACTGATAATAATTCATCTTGCATGTATAACCATGATAGTAGGATCTTGAACTAATTAACAAACTTACTCTGGCTGTCATTTTTTTTATGCAACGTGATTGTTGTGCGGTTAATTGGGATTTGTTAGAGATTGTTGTGTTTATTGACTGTTTCTTCGGCAAGAGAAAACGGAACACAGATGCAAATATATATGTATGACGTGTATATTTAACTTATTGTCCTCTTCACTCATAAATGAAGATAAAAGGTTGTGTCGAAAAAATAAAGAAGAAACAATGAGCACAATAATATCGATGATAGACCTAAATTAATCGCACAATAATCAAATTTCAAGGTTAAATAATATTCAAGATCCAATTTTCATGATTGTTCTACGATCGAATTCCCATGTATGAAAAAAAACATGTTTCTGTCGCCAAGAACATTATAATTTGCCGCCAATTTAAAAATAATTTGTTTAATATATACGTCGTCGATAGAGGAGTTTCACGAACTACAACAAATATCAAACTTTCAGAAAACTTGTTCATCAATCTTCATAAACCGAAGCTCGCCGGATAACTCATCGAAGAAGCTGAACCTCCCCCAGGGGCGTAGCCAGGATTTTGTCGAGGGTAGGTCCATTTAGAAAAAAATACATACGATAAAATAGTTTTGTTAGCGTTTTAAATATTTCATGATATAATTTGTATTTACAAAAACTTGTAAATTAAATATATGTCGAAACTATCAAGAAGACACTCTATATGTATCAAACAATTGTTAATGATTTAGTTAGACATTTGCTTTTGAATGGTGTTCTTTGTCAAGACCGTTTAGTATCAAGAACTCGAGTTGTTAGAAAAGATTTAATAATGGACTTATACTATTTAGTATTTATTAACACTACCCTGCTAATGAAAACCAACTTATACGTGCTTAAATTTTTCGCAATCCAAATATTATGTGCTTAACAAATGGGGTCACCAAGATTTGAACACATGATCTCATATCATTGATCTCTCAACGATTCTTAATTGAAAGTGCCCTAAATTCATTCTCAATTAACTATTATACTAACTTACTCGTTTTTTGTCCTTAGGAGCCACCCATTATACTCCCACTCCCCCTACCCCTGGTTGAAATAAAAATATTTTACAAATTAGCTATGATTTGGTGGAAATTTGTTCTAGGTATTGCACAAATACATCATTAATTTTACGTGGATCATATGCACCATTGTTATTTGTACATAGTTCATTATAAAAACATTGAATATGTTAATACACAACTTATAAATCATACATCAAAGATTTGAAAGGTCAACCATTTTCATTTAGATACGTGTTACTATGTTCCCTCCCGAGTCTGGATGGGTCACGAGACCCTACCTCTACCCCTCTCCCTCCGCCCCTGACCTCGCCGTAAACTGTGCACATCCAGTCTCGCAATCATCACTAAGTAGATATTTTTAATTTATGGAATTTTGAGCAATTTTTTCGGCGAGATTCGAGGGACGGACGGCGAGTCAGAAGAATTTGGCGGCCGAAACTTGGCCGAGCCGAAAGGAAATGACGGCACAAACCCGGTCAGGCCGGCGGAAAAAGTCGATCGGCGTTAGGCCAGGCCGGAGCTTTCCTTCGGCTCTGCCAGGTTCCAACCGCCAGAATCTTTCGGCCCAACACCGGTCATCGAAATCTTTCTGTAGAGTAGCCAATTTAGAGTTTAGGCGTTTAATTTAGAGTTTAGGAGTTGAATTTAGGGTGTTAGGGGGTTGAATTTAGGGTTTCGTAGTTGAATTTAAGGATTAGGGTTTAGCTTCACCTTAAACTGATGTGTTATATTGTAATTGTACGAAAAATGTCAAAATGGTTCGACTCCGACACTGATTACACACAGTACTTTGAGACTGGCAACCATTATGGAACGTTGGAGTCGGTTGAGAATCATGCAAAAGCAATCGCTAAATCGCTTGGGTTCTTTATTATCAACAGATCATGAAAATCGAATACTGAAGTGGAGCATCATGTAAATGCCCTCTATATTAGGGTGGAAGTTTGGTTTGCAGATTGTGGGTAATTTACAAACTACACTGAACCGCACGCTTTGTGGGTAACCATATTCACAATTTGTGGATAATGGGTTGGGTGTGGGTAGCAAAATATAGATTTTTGTGGTTAGTGATTAACCGCACGATTTTTGTTTATTAATACTACTTTATAATATTAAAGTATGTGAAAAGTAGAATGCTACAAATTAAAGTAGCCTCCAAAATCAAATACGTACTTCTTTTATAAAAGAAAACCAAGTCAATACACAGTGTCCGTATGAGATAAATGTGGTTTATAGTTTATTTAACACTTTATTAACTTTCTTTTGTGTAGGTTTCATTTTTTTGTAAGAAGACGTTAATTCCGCAGCTCGAGGAGAGAATTCCATTTATCCCAAAAAAATTTGAATAAAAACCAATGGGTCATGCCGCTGATAAATATGCTATGTATATTTAGAATAGATCCCCCTCCAACCCATACTCGTTATCAATTTGGATTTCGTAAAGAAAGTGAAGTGAACCGAGGAGTGGGAGGTTGACTACTTAGAAAGGTCTGAATACTAGATCCTCACTCGTTCCATGTCTTGGGCTTCATTAACTTAGTTTTAACTCAACGTGTGTGTTTTTCCGTCACTCGAACGATAGGTTTATCATATACGAGTCCGAAGGGCGAAGGAACGAAACTTTTGTGGGTATCCACATCCAACCAGCACCAACCCGCAGTGGATAGTGGTTAACCACTTCCAACTGTGGTGCGGGCTGTGGGTAGCATAATTCTATATTTGTGGGTGTGGTTAACCGTAAAATATGGGGCGGGTAACCACACTCACCCCAATTTGCACCCATATATATGTATTGTGATAGAACTAGCAGGATCGAGAAATCATACAAACCAGACCCTATGAAAGAGAGGCGTGGAAACACTAGTTCGAAGGGTAATGATTGCCAATTTCAAATATGTATTAAAGAAGTATGGCAACAGAATGGTTCAAACACCTGGTTTATAATGGGGGTGAGACGTCGAGCAACAAAATATAATAGTGGGTTTTAAAACCATGAAAAGGTGTTGTATCCCGAACATCATCCGCACAACAAACAGTTCAGTGAGATTGATAAAGAAAGGGAAATTTTGTTTAGGAAGGAGGGGGTGAAACCGACTGAGCTGAAGACGACGCTCGATTCTAAAGGGGGTGTGCAACATGATATCATATACTCTACAACTTAAATAGCAAGACAAGATTGGATGAGATGGGTGAAATAGATGCGATACAGTTTGTACTTCACGGAGCTAGACAACTTAGGTACCATATCCGTTTGGAAAAAGGATCTTAATAATGTGCTCATCAATCTGTTTTTTGCCCACCCGACTTCCATTCAGATGCTGCATGCATGGTCGTACGCCATCCTCATCGACTTGACCTACAAGACTAACAGGTACAACATGCCATGGGTTTAGATTATTAGGTTACTCCAGTGAAGAAGAATTTCAACATTGCATGTGTACTTATTAAGCATGATACAAAGGAAACATATGAGTGGCTGCTTTGATGTAACAAAGAGTAGAGGGTTCAAAATGTCATTGTGGCAAACAAAGAAGGTGGTATGCTTGCTTCTGTTCCTTTGGTCTTCACCATGCCACTTATCCACCACCTACTATGTTATGGCACGTCAGTAGCTGCGTGAAGGCAAAGTTTGAGAAGCTACTGCGGGAATTTCAAGGAGAGAGTTGGCAATCAAGGTATGGAATATATATTTTAACATTGCTGCATATTGTTGGACGAGGTGCCATTTCCGTGCAATATTGAACGAGTTTGAGAGGGTTTGGTCAGTGAAGAACAACAAAAATGGTAGATTAAGTGAAGATGGAGTGGCTGCCTCATCAAACAATGTGGGCAAAGTGTGCTACACGAATGAGGTATTCCATCTTGGTAACACGAACACGAGTTGAGTTGAGTCATCTCACTCTATGTTCAAGACTTTCTTTGTATCTGGTAGAGGAGCGTTGGACACTTGTTTTGCGAATAATCACAACTACATGGAAGCTCGGTTTTGGGAAGTGGTGAATGAATTGCACATGTCACTCAACTACAATCTGAGTAGGGAAATTGAGAACCCATGGAAGCTCGTCGTCTTCTCATACCAGGCGTCCGATGCCTGTAATCTAACTCGTTCGGTGCCAACGTGTACACTAATCACTACACTATAATGCCTCCTGATGCGACAGCTGGTGCATCACCACCATCTATGATCCTATCACTATGTGAACGACCACTTTATTCGATTGTTCTTCACCTAGGATCAGTTTCCCATACCCCCTATACATCCAATGTGGCAGGGTCTATCACATCCCAATATGGCAGATTGGGGTACTAGTCTCTAGGTTGGACGATATTTGTGGAGGAGTCTTGGTGGTCGCCCTCAAACCATGGAAAAAGGCCTCGTAGAGGTAGGGGAAGGGGTAGGGGTAGGGGCAATGCATAGTGTTGGAATGCTTTATTTGTTATTGTTGTTATGGTTGTTATATTTTAAATGTTGTAATGATTTAGTTGAACCAACTGATGTTTTAGTTTGTATTTGGAAGTTTTGGAACTTATAAACTAAAAATAAATAGTCAAACATGTGAACTTAACATAAATAGTGAAAAATCTGAAATAACATAAATAGTCAAAAATATGAAACAATACATATGGTGCAGAGAACAACATCCAAAGTCAAACATAAATAGCCTGAGAGAATCCTTCGTCCCAACCATCGGTCGTGATTACTCGCCAAAAACTAAAAAATCGCTGAAAAAAGGAAACTTACCTGTTTTCTAGTGATTCTCGTGATCGGCCGGAATGGGCATGTTGCTGGCGACGAGGAATTGTGGTTGGCGACAGATGCTTTATTGGGATGATGAGATTTTGTTGGAAATGTGATTATGTTTGTTGCAAATGTGGATTTATAGATTGAAGCAGAAAAATTTAAAACTCAAAATTCAAATTCTGAATTTTGAATTTTTTATTTAATTGACGACAAATAGTAATCGTGTTGGTGGCAATAGCCAAAAAAAGATGCTATCCTTAAAAAATTAAACGAACAAAGAGGCAAAATAAATTTTGTAACTGATAGACAATGTCAAATAATTAAGTGTTAACACACAAATTTTATTTGGTCTAATATCATATTAGTTAATCTAGCAAAAAATATTTAATATGAAATAAGTCAACCAAACATTCTAAAAGAACATGGTTGAGCCGGGATGCGATACAACATTGTAGCTCCAACAAGCTTAATGGCCATCATTTAAGATCACTTTTTTTCAAAGCTATCTTTTAAGATCTCGTTTTCATGATTTATCATATTAAGCTCAGGCATTCCGTTTATCAAAATGGACAAAATACTTTGTGACAAAAAAAGTCAAATCGTATTATCATTATAAGTATAGCTTGAAATTATATTTTTTTATCTATTTTGTCCATCAATATTTATGGATTATTGACAAATTATGTTGGCTAATATATACATGTCATCGCTTGAATTAATTTCACTAATAGAAAAGAAATTTTTGGTGTACTTGCTTGTATTATTATTATTATTATTATTATTATTATTATTATTATTATTATTATTATTATTATTATTTTTGTTGAAAGGTTGGATATCATTAGGAAGCAAATGTGTCAAGCCCAGTGGAAAAGATACAATTAGAGTACTACAGCTACAAGCAAGCCAAAAATGACAGGCCACCCACAAATCCAGTACCCAATAGGGCCTAGACGGGGGCCCAATCATAAAAATAGCCACACAAACCCTAACACCCAACTTCCCCTTTAGAGACACCATCGCCGAACGCTGGAAACCCCGAGACCGGTCCCACCTGTAGCCTTCAGATCAAGCAGAACACCGGAGAAGGGAAGGGAACAAAGGAAAACCCACCCCAACCCCCTCCAACGCCGATCGACAACACCACGAACAACCACCCAGGCGAAACCATCAAAAATCGGTCGGCCAGCGATGAATCCAGGAAGATCTTCAATCTTCAAAACTCTCCAACCGAGTCCAAGCCAAGAGGCCATATTTCTGAAACATCAAGACCTATAAGATGAAGCAAGGAGGTAGACAAAAGGAAGGAAAAGGAGTAAACCAGCTAAATCTATGATAAATCTCACCTCCTTTGCTCTTAGAACAGACACATCTCTAGATTTGACGACAAATTAGAGGGGAAAATACTCTTGTAACATCCCGTTTCAGCTAAAATCGTATTTCGATCGCTAGAAAGTTCGCGATTTAAAATCGAGCATTTCGACACTATTTCGACGAAAATCGGATTATCAATCGATCGGATAAGTATACGTATTAATTATATATATAATATTATATATATATATTTTACATAAAGCGGACGGCCGCATATATATCTAATTCCCCATCACATTCCTTCCACAATCATCATCATTCTCCATTTCTCCACCGAGAAAGAAGCGAGAGAAGTAAAAACCGAGAGCAGAGCAGAGTCGCACGCAGAGCTCCGGGGATAATTTTTGGTAGCTCGATTCTTGAGCTACAGTGATCCAAAAATCCCGTAAGTAATGCTTAATTCATCCATACATCGTGATTTATCGATTTAGAGTTTTAAAACGAGTTTTTGGTTCAGGAATTTCTTGAATTCCCGTTAAGCCAAATTAGGGTTTTGGAGTATCCGGAAGCCGGATTGAGCCCAAATTTCATATACGAGCTTCCTGCAGCGAGGTAATCAATCCCCTAGTTCTAATTCCTGATTTTCGGCTATTATTTAGGCCGGGGTCCAAACCGCTGAATTTAGCTCCGGCCAGGGTTTGATGTGTTTTTATCAAGAATTTGACCCGGAGCCTAGAACTAATATTGACGGGGATACTGCAGGGGATATTAGGACGGTCTCGGATTTTAATTCGGGGTTCGTTCGTGAAATTGTCGTTTTAGTACGGGAAGCTAAAACCGGTGTTTGAACGACCAGAACTGGTGAGGGATTAGCACGGCATACCGGGTTTGTCGTATCACGATAATTATATTGATGCTTAGAATTGATCTAGGTGAACTAGAATGGCATGATTAGGGGTGTATGGACTTTTATGCTATATGATGAACCATGGATTGTTGTATGATATTATTGACTTGCCCTAGCCGATATGAACCTTGTTTATGTTGATGATTGCATACATGTTGCCATTTGTGGCTTAACTGTTGATATGACTTTATGGTTGTTCGATAAGGGTCTTTGACATGGTGTGATATTATGGTTGTATTTGGATCCATAAGTGGGGGAATAAACTTCCCAGGGTGATATTATGATGTTTAAGGAGGATGACTTGCACGAGGGTTCATCCCGAGGAAGTGCAATTATACGACTCCTGATTTACCTATGTTGAGCCAACTATGGCCACGTCAAGTACATGTGTAAGTAATGAATTATGGTTAAGCAAGATGAGATATGAATCATGTACAAGGATACCAAATATGAATGTTGTGGTCTCACGGTCAATTACGTAGTAATTAGGGCTCCCTATGCTATTACTCTATTATGATATGTATGATAGTCACACCTCTCATGTGGTGGTGACTGAAGAATTCTCATGAGATATGACCACACCCAGAGCGGTGTCGGGGTATGACTACACCCATAGTGGTGTGGGGTATGTATGACCACATCCGACGGGATGTTGGGGTATGTATGACTACATCCAACGGGATGTGGGGTATGTTTCCCGGGAGAGTTATTAGCATGGGAATAGCCAGGCGCCTATAAGTAAAACATGATAAGATGCATATGCATAAGTCAAGGTGGTTGAGTCTTTTGCCTATTGGGATATGAGGACGGCTGAGGTCCGATCCTAGTGTTTTGGCTTGATTGTTAGATGTATGGTAGGGGTATGCTCTGTTATGAACTCACGATGCTATGATTATCTCACTCAGCTATGAGCTGACCCTCTTTTATTCTTCTTCTCTGCTTATGCTATGTGTAAGCAGATCATCAGCAGCAGTAGTAGATAGGTGAATAGGTGGGAGCTGAGCTAGAGTTGAAGCCAGGATGAGGTATGGTCTTCAACTATTCTTTGCTTGGACTACTACTCGGGATTTTGGCCAGTGATCCACACCTTTTTGTAAAAATGTTTTGAGAACGTTTTTCATGTGCATACTAGCTTCTGATGTAGTGTGAGATATCCACAGGTGTGGAAAGTTGATGATATGTGTATATGTTGTGTAACTGTGTAAGTTGTGACAATTATGGTATGTATAAGTTTGGTATGCAGTTGTGTAGTATGAAAGTGTGACTATGGCTAAGAAAAGCCAATGCATATGGTTGTGAGTATATATGTTTGTGATGAATTATTTTGCAGGTTAAGTTGCAAGAACTGTTAGCCCATTACGCGAGTAATTCATGTCGAAATTTTATTTAGGTAAATTTTGATAATTAATGTAACACCCGAGATTAATTCCGCTGCAATTGTATGAAAAATATGATTAGGAAAAACGTATAGGGTAGGGTGTTACAGTTTGGTATCAGAGCCCGGTTCCCTCTTTTTGTTGTTATGGCGTACTATACCCTATGGGAGGTTAAACACTCCTAAGGAGGGGAGTACCCCATAATGAATTAAACTGGGAATTGAGTTTGACATGATTATGTGTATTGATATATTGGATGAAATTATCTGCATCATGGTTTTCAAAATTGAGTTTTGAACTTATTTGTTTTCAAGTAATTAGTTTGGAAAAATTTTGTTTTAACCAAGTGAGAGATTTGGTGAAGAATGAATTTTGTGTGGATCAATCTAAGGCCAATATTTCCTTGTAGTTCCCACGGAAGTTGTGAAAATGTTCCTACTGACCAGTCGAGAGGGGTGGGGGCGGTTGATGCAAGACCGCCAGTATTAGACTATGCAAAGATGAAGAGTTTGGGTGGTAGGGACTTCAAGGGAGATGTGAGTCCAGATGCAGTAGTAGAGTGGTTGAGAGAGATGGAAGATGTGTTTGAATATCTTTATGCGACCCCAGCTGGTGGTCCTCAGTCTCTAGAGTTAATGGTGAACGAGTTCAGTTCACCTGGGAGGAGTTCTTGAAGGCCTTTAAGACAGAGTTTCTTCCCGAAGCTTTTATCAGGGAAAAGAACAATGAATTTGCCAACCTTAAGCAAGAGAATATGACAGTTACTGAGTACACCATCAAGTTTGTTCGACTACTTTACTTTGAGGATGGGTTGGCGGATACTGAGCATAAGAAGAAGATGAGATACTTGCATGGTCTGCGCATAGGATTGAAAGAAAAGATCCACAGGGTTGATGAAGAGAGCATGGCCACAATCAAGGAGGCAGCACTTAAGTATGAAGCCTATGAAGTTGAGAGCCGAGAGGAACACAAGGCCAAAGAAGAGGAGAAGAAGAGGAAGTTTGGAGTAAATTATGCTGGACCTCGTTACCCACCCAGGAGAGGTCCTAGCAGTTTTGGGAGAACACCAAGTCAATCTATGTCGGGAACATCATACAGGGCACCAATTTCCTCAGCCACACAATTTCCATTTTGTCAAGTTTGTCAGAAGAGGCATATTGGAGAGTGTAGGAGATTTTCTGGTGTATGCTTTCACTGTGGCCAACCTGGGCACATCATGAGGGATTGCCCGCATGCGAGAGAAGTAAGAGCTACACAGTCCGAGCCTTCAGTGCAAATGAGTAGAGCCCCATTCAGGGGTGGTTACCAGGGAGGCCGTAGTGGATTTCAGAGTGGTCGTGGTGGTTCACAGGGTGGTAGAGGTGGTGGTCGAAATCAGCCATCAGGAAGTGGTACGCAGGGTACCAGAGCACAGGGAGCACCAAGGGTTTATGCAATGACTCGAGGTGAGGCAGAAGTGGCACCAGAAGTTGTGACTGGTATGCTTTCTATCCTTGGCAAGCAATTATATGCTTTGATCGATACTGGTTCCTCTCACTCATTCATGTCATATACGTTTGCACATATGCTACGCTTAGTTCCAGATAAGCTAGGTTATACCTTATGTGTTAAAACACCTGTGGGAGATACCTTGAAGGTAGACTCAGTTATTAGAAGTTCCTTCATTTGTGTGGAAGGAGCTTTCCTAGCAGCAGATTTAATTCTGCTACCTTTTGATGAATTTGATGTCATCCTTGGAATGGACTTTCTGGCAACACATGGAGCTGTTGTGGATTGTCAAAAGAAAGAAGTGTTATTCAGCACACCAGATAAAGGTCCTATTGTATTCCGAGGCATTAAGAAAAAGGAGACTCATGGTTTTCTTTCTGCCTTGGAAGCTTTTCGATTAGTGAAGGAAGGTTGTGAAGCCTTTCTTGCTCAAGTTACTATAGTAAATGATAAGAAGGTTGAGGATGTAGAGGTGGTAAGGGAGTTCCCTGATGTATTCCCCGAAGAACTTCCCGGCCTTCCACCAGAAAGGGAAGTAGAGTTTGATATTGAATTGGTACCTGCCACAACACCAATTTCAATGGCACCATATAGAATGGCACCAATTGAGCTGAAGGAGCTTAAAGAACAATTGCAAGAATTGCTAGACAAGGGGTTTATTCGACCTAGCATCTCACCATGGGGTGCACCGGTTTTATTTGTCAAGAAGAAAGATGGCTCCATGAGAATGTGCATTGACTACCGGAGGTTGAATAAGGCGACAGTGAAGAATCGTTATCCCCTTCCAAGAATAGATGATTTGTTTGATCAATTGCAGGGTGCATCAGTCTTTTCTAAGATTGATTTGAGGTATGGATACCATCAGTTGAAAGTGGCAGATGGAGCAACTTCAAAGACAGCTTTTAGAACAAGATATGGGCATTATGAGTTCCTGGTAATGCCTTTTGGACTCACTAATGCACCAGCGGTATTTATGGCTCTTATGAACAGAGTTTTCCATGAATATCTTGATAAGTTTGTGATTGTGTTCATAGATGATATTCTCATCTATTCTAAAAGCGAGGAGGAGCACAAAACTCACCTTAGAATTGTGTTGCAAATTCTAAGGGAGAAACAGTTATATGCAAAATTCTCAAAATGTGAGTTTTGGCTGAAGGAGGTAATATTTCTGGGACATGTAATTTCTGGAAGAGGTGTTGAGGTGGATCCGAAAAAGGTGGAAGCAGTGGTGAGTTGGGCTCCACCAAAAGATGTGTCGGAGTTGAGAAGTTTTCTTGGCATGGCTGGTTACTATCGGCGGTTCGTAGAAGGATTTTCCAAAATTGCTGCACCATTGACTAAACTGTTGAGGAAGAATACCAAGTATGTTTGGGATGAATCATGTCAGAAGAGTTTTGATGATCTGAAGAAGAAATTGACCACAGCACC